TACAATTTTGGACAAATGGCTGTCTAATCTCTTCTTAAAAACTTCCAGTGTTGGAGCATTCACAACTTCTGGAGGCAGGTTGTTCCACTGGTTAATTGTTCTCACTGTCAGGAAGTTTCTCCTTAGTTCCAGGTTGCTTCTCTCCTTGGTTAGTTTCCACCCGTTGCTTCTCGTCCTGCCTTCAGGCGCTTTGGAGAATAGCTTGACTCCCTCTTCTTTGGGGCAGACCCTGAGATATTGGAACACTGCTATCCTGTCCCCCCTCGTCCTTCTCTTCATTAAACTAGACATACTCAATTCCTGCAACCGTCCTTCATATGTTTTAGCCTCCAATCCCCTAATTATTCTTAGGATTTTAATACTACAGACCCCAGGATCCATAGTCCTGTTCATATTTTGAGGACTTAGGAGAGTCCCACACCCTTTTCATCCTGAGAATTTTTTCTCAGCAATTCTGGTTAGCTTTTATTTTCTTTTTTAAATCACCAAGAGCTTTAGCTGTTTGTTTTTTTTTAAAAAAATCTGCAATGCAGTTTTTTTAAGCAAAGGTCAACTCTTCTTCAAGCTGAGTTCGGTTCCTAGTGACTATGTGAACACGTCGGCTGAATTTTCCTGCCAATAGTTAAGGTGGAAAAAAAAGTTATTCATCCTTTCTTTCTTCTGAGAAATTTTGATTTTAAAATTCCCAGTCTAGTGGCCCAGCCCATGATCACCAAGTGGCCTCCCTTCCAGCTAAGCTTTCTGAGATCAGCCAGATCGGCTTCTTGGGGAAATTGGACTCCTGACAACTCCTAATAACGTTTTATTATTACCGTCTTTCAACTCAGAGGTTGCAAATACCTTTAAAAAAAGTGGGGGGGAGGTACCTTAGCATAAAAGGCCAAGTCCAAAGGTTCGCATTATACATTATTTTGGGAAAAATATAAAAATGGTTGGTCTTCAAACCGCCTTAATTGGCCCAAACTGGCTATAAAATTCCATATTCTAGGAGAAATGCATTTTTCTTTTGCCTTCACAGCTTTCATATGCGTTTGGAAAATGGCCAAAAAAAGCTAAAATAGACATTTTTTTCCTCCTTTTTTTTTTTTTTTTTTTTGCACGAGAGCATTGCTAAGGATTTGGGGGAAATGACCTTTTCTTTCAGAACGAGAGGTTCACAAGTTGTCCTGGTTTTTCTTTTTCTTTTTTTATTTAAAACCTCCACAATCCTGGAGAGGTTCTCACGTAGGTCTCCTGGAGTGACACAAGGAAGATCTGGGTGGCATTCCAGAAGCTTCGCTCATTGTACAAAGCACAATTCGAGATTGCAAAGATCTGGCTTTAGAACGGAGCCGTGGTGGAGAGTAAAATAAAAAAAAAAATAATCAGTGTAGACAGATGGGAGAGAATTTGTCGAGAATTCAGCCCTGGCATCGCCTTGAGCAAAGAGAGAGAGAGAGAGAGAGAGAAGATCGTTTAGCTAATTGCAGGGACGATTGGAAGATATTACATTTTACATTTAGGCAGGAAAAACCAAAGATACGAATACAGATTGGGCGAGACCCGGCTTAAAAACAGTAACTGTGAGAGGGACCTTGAAGTCCTAGTCCAGGGCTTTTCAACCTTTTCACCCATTGTACCACTTTTAGGATATGGCAACATCTGAGTACCACCAGTCGCCTAGCAAGGTGTCAAAAACCTGACACACACCCCCAAAAAAGGAAAAAAGTGATGAAGTACAGGTAGTCTTCAACTTATAACAGTTCGCTTAGTGACTGTTCGAAGTTACAATGACACTGAAAAAAGTGCCCCCCAAGCCACAGCCGAGCAAGACACCTGCCTGCCCACCCAGTGGCGCTCTTCCTCCTGTCCGAGGTTTTCATTGTTGTGAGCATTTCTGTTGAGGATTGGCAGCGGGGATGGGATGGGGGGTATTTGGTTTTTATTCCCTTCATCTGCTGGGTGGTTGCAGCAGGTTTTGGTCACTTCACATGACCCTGGGACACTGTGACCATCATAAATATGAATCAGTTGCCAAGCATCTGAATGTAAATCACAAGACCCTGGAGAGGCTGCAACATTCCAGCTGATCGGCGCTTCTTCTGGGCTCAGCAGAAGCGCCAGGATCAGCGCCGAGCTCCAGCTGGAGCCTGGCACTGATCCTGGTGCTTCCGCTGAGCCCTGACAGCCCTGCAGCCCCAGCCATCTCTTGCTCAGGCTTGTACGGTTCTGCCACCCGTTCGGCTCATTCCCCTCCCCCACTACCACTTTTCTAGGATGGTCGCGTACCACCTGCCAGGTGCCAATGTACCACAGGTGGTACCCGTACCACTGGTTGAAAAGCCCTGTCCTAGTGGATGATCACTTAACTATGAGCCAGCCGTGTGCAGCAGCAACCCCAAAAAGCTAATACAATCCTGGGTTGTATAAACAGAGGCATAGAATCAAGATCACGCAAAGTATTAGTACCACTTTATAAAGCCCTAGTAAGACCACACCTGGAATACTGCAGCCGATTTTGGTCCCCATATCACAAAAAAGATGTTGAGAGTTTGGAAAAAATTCAGAGAAGAACAACATTTCATTACCCAATTAGGTAACATCAACACTAGATGGGAGTGGGGTTTGCAAAGAGGAGGAGGAGGAGGAGGAAGAGGAAGAGGAAGAGGAGGAGGAGAACTGTGCCCTCTGAGATAGGTGGTTTTCTTGCAGACGTTTCATTACCAAACTAGGTGATGAGTCATCTTATAGGGAAGACGGGCAGTATGAAAATTTAATAAATGTAACAAAACTAGGTGAAACCATCAATGCACTGATGGCGTTACCTAGTTTGGTAATGGAACGTCTGCAAGTAAACCCCCAAGCTCGGAGACACACCCCCCCCCCAAGGACCCCACAACCTGGCTTTTGTTGTCAGATAATGATTCTCTTATTTGTTTGTTTCGGATCTTTAATTATTTTGCCTTCTTTAAAATTGCTTGTAAGTCCCTTGGAGTCTGGAAATATTAGACGGATGCAGATCTAAATCAAATAACTCCAAGACAAAAGTGCAACAACACTCCATCACTTCACAGTTTTAATGCCGCCGTTCAGACGTAATCTATTTCCTTCTCATCTCTGTAAATTCTATTCCAGCAACCATTTTTTCCCCCCTTTGAATCCTGTCTCTTCCGATACCTTGCCTCTCTTCTAAATCTCAAAAACGTTTCGTGCAGGACCGTCTTTCTGTTCTCCTGACACCCCATCAGTTCAGTGAAGTCCAGGAGAGAATAAGGTCTAATTTCCAAGCGGGCCTGTCGCTTGTGACAAATTCGCCGTCCTTTTCTTATTCCCTTTTGCGAACAAAAACATTCAGCTAGACGTGACAGGCTCTCCTCCTTTGACTGCCAATGCATTTCCTCGCCGCCTTTTAGAATAATATTTTAATATTGAAGGGAGGAGGCCTTGCCATATAAAAGGCGGCTTTATATTTCACACCTCCCGAGTTGTCACTTTGATCTACACCTTTGACAGCAGTTAATAAACAAGAGTCCAAATACAGCTTGGACCGGTTTCACCAGCCCTTCCCTCCAGCAATTTACAACTTCTAATTTTATTCCCCAGCAACATCTTTTTTGCCATTGCTGGATTGATGGCTTCTGAACTCTTTGCCAATGATGGGAAATTCGGTTGATTCATTATTATTATTTTTTTCATAAGAACCTAAAAGGATAAAATCTCCTTTGAGTCAAAATGCCATTCCTGCTGCCTTGATGGATGTGTCCGCGTTGTGTTCTTGGCAACAGCCGGGGAACGTTTTGCCAGATTTGTTTTTGAGGTTCCCGTGTATTCTACCTTCCGAGATTTCCTGGTGGCGTCTTTAGCTTCCAAGTTCAGACAAGGTTGCGGTTACCTGCTGAGACCATAAGCTTCCCCCCCTTTTTTAAAAAATAAAAATTAGCTCAATGGATAAATATGTTTAAAGTTGAGTGTGAGGACCTGGTCTTTTGCTCTTGATCGTGGTTGTTTTCTTGCAGACTTCATTACCCAACCATCTCATGTGTGATATTATTTAGCACTGATGGTGTTACCTAGTTGGGTCATGAAACGTCTGCAAGAAAACAAGCAAGCTCAGAGAGAACCAAGGACCCCTCATTTCAACCCTGAGCTACCTTTATTGGTCTTTCATACCCAACAGTGTCACACACACCCCCAAGGCCCTCTGAGAATTATTGGCTCAGAGATGGGGACGTTTGCTGAGGAACATCTGGACCATGGATGTTTTGGTTGCTGCCAGCCACTGTCAGTCACAAAAGACCAGGTCCACCCATGAAGGTCCAGTTAAACCAATTTACTTCTAAACAGCCTATGCAAAGTAACCTTCTCAACTAATGGCCGGCAGATGCTTGGAGTTAGACAAGGACCCGGGGAATTTCAAGAAAGGCTGGACTTAATTCACTTGTGGCTGCGTAGGGATTCTAAGCTGACTCCCCTTTTGACTCCACCCCCAGTTTCTGCCCTTCCTTCTCCTACAGCCCTGTCCTGTTTTACAAACGAGCAGTTAAAGTTGATGACTGCAGGGAACATGTCCTGGTGCAAGTTTGAGATGAGTTTTCTTGGAGCAAATGGTTGTTATGCTTCAAATTACTTCCCCCAACCTGCCTGTATCACTTCTGGACTGGATAGGAGTTGGAGACAAGATCCTTGGGATGTGAGCAGAAAAAGGCTTGTGGGCCCTTTTTGCATCATGGATAGATGCAAGAAATTTAGTCCCAAAAGATGATATTTGTCATGTACGAGAGAATCGGGGCCACACTTTAAGTTCCAGTTAAGCTGATTTATTGCTCATGGCTATACCCAGGAATCTAGCCACCTAATAGTCAGCACTAAATTGGTGCTACCTAAGAACCAATAGAATTCACTTATTAGTCCGTTTGTGGCAATGTAATGACTCTAGGCTGATTACTCTCTTGACTCCACCTCTCCTTCCGCTACACTAATGCTATTTTCCCCCCTCTCTCTTTCTCTCTTTCTCTTGGTAGGATTCTGGCTACAGCTGGGACCCAGTTTGACCTTCGAACGCTGAGAGCCGTCCGTGTGCTGAGACCCCTGAAACTTGTCTCAGGAATCCCAAGTAAGTGGAAGAACGTTCCGGGGTGGTATAAGTTAGATTCCAACTCTCACGATACATTGCACCCTCCTCTCTTTCTAATGGACAGGACTTGCTTGGCTCAAGAAGGGCGGGTCTGCATCGCCTGCCTAAGATTATTGAACCCCCTTGTCTCCCTCCGTTTAACTGAATTGACATGTCGTGAGATTTGACTGGTGCTTCCACTGACTGATGTCTCTTTTGGAGATAGCCCAAGAAAAGTGAAGACAAACTAAAATTAAGTAGGGTACATGAGGACGATTAGGACCGGGTGCTTCAATTTTGTAGAACTTTCTCTTTCAGCTGTTGCCTCAGTTGCTTTTCCTACAACAGCCACACTTAAGGGATGCCCCCCACCATCCTATTTGAACCAGTCTTGTTGTTCACTTGCTAACTCATGCCCAACTCTTCGTGACCCCATGGACCATAGCACGCCAGCCTCCTCTGTTCTCCACTTTCTTCTGGAGTTTGCCCAAATTCATGTTCACTGCCTCAATAACCATTCCATCCTCTGCCATCCCCTTCTCCTTTGGCCTTCCTTCTTTCCCAACCTTGGGGTCTTCCCCAAAGAGTTCTCCCTTCTCATTTGGTGGCCCAAGTATTCACAATATTTCCATCACTTTAGAAGTCGCTAAATTGTCATCAACTTGTCAGCTTCCCTAAAGTTTTGTGAGATTCTAGGAACAGCTGCCAAGAAATGGCTGGACTATTCCTTGAGGGGCGGGCGGATATTATTTGAGGAGTCAGAACCCTCCTTTGTGAAGATTCAGCCTGGGCAAAGCCAAGTCAAAGTCTGGATTTGAACCCAAACTGGTGGAAATGCCCAGAAAGCTAGGCTAGAAGTTAGCAATATTTGAAGTATGTCTTTATCCCTCCTGAGATATTTTCTGTTGGGTCCCTCCCTTTGCTAAGACCCTCCATGGACTGATCCTTTTTTTCCCCTTGCTCAGGTTTACAAGTTGTCCTCAAATCCATCATGAAGGCAATGGTACCCCTTCTCCAGATCGGTCTCCTCCTCTTCTTTGCCATCGTGATGTTTGCCATTATCGGTCTAGAATTCTACATGGGCAAATTCCATAAAGCTTGTTTTTCAAACGAAACAGGTGGGTGATGGGAAGACCAGCCTTAACAAGATCACTCTTAGGTGGGGAGCGAACAACAGAATAACAACAGAGTTGGAAGGGACCACGGAGGTCTTCCAGTCCAACCCCCTGCTCAAGCAGGAAACCCTGTACCATTTCAGACAAATGGTTGTCCAATCTCTTCTTAGACACCTCCGGTGTTAGTTGAATGTCATATGAAGTCTTTCCGATGACATTTTTTTTGCTTTCCCTGCAGGTGAGAGATTGGGAGACTTCCCGTGCGGTGAAGACTGGCCTGCTAGGCGCTGTGAAGAAGGCACGTGCAAAAAATACTGGGAGGGCCCCAACTTTGGGATCACCAACTTCGACAATATCTTGTTTGCCGTGCTCACCGTCTTCCAGTGCATCACCATGGAAGGATGGACCGATATCCTCTACAATGTAAGTTCTGCTGGCATCAGAGGAGCAAAGGCTGAGTAATTTAAGCGCATACTAAGTATGGAAGGGAGAGCTATATCTTTCCCATACCCTAATTAGGATTTTCTCAGTTTATTATGTATTGAATAAGAAAAATTATATGGCCAATCGTATCTCTGTAGGCGTGATGTTCCACAGAGAGGGAAGCACCACGGAGAAGGTCCTTCTTCTTGGTCCCACTAAATCCGGGGTAGGCAACCTTGGCTCTTTGATGACTTATGGACTCCAACTCCCAGAATTCCTGAGTCAGCATAGCTGGTTCAGGAATTCTGGGTATTGAAGTCCACAAGTCATCAAAGAGCCAAGGTTGCCTACCCCTGCACTAGATGGATCTCCTTAGGAGAGGGGACCCATAACATTCCTTGCCTCACCATTCTGGTGGGTTGGGTAGATACGATTGAGAAAAGACGGTCCTTCAGATAACCTGGTCCCATGCAATGTAGGCCAGTTGGTCATCAAAGGACAGCAGAGGACTTGAGTGGGATTCAACAGGATTCCTTTTTCGGGAACATGGCATTGAAAAGTTTGCAGGGATCCCACAATTCCTTTTTCATTAGTGGAGATCTCAAAAAACTAGGTTCTGGTGTTGTTGGATAATAAGGTTGGTCTGGCAAGTTGGAATATCTGCCAGGAACGCTGGGCAAAATTTCCTATGTACGGGATCCACTTTTTTATATATATATATATGTATTTTTTTCCCTAAGAGAAGAGCGTTGTGCCCAAAGAACTTTGCTCTAAGTTCTAGAATTGAAAGGAGATGACACATTTTTCCAGATCAAAATCCACCCCCTTCCGTGTTTGCTCCCAGGCTTTCTCCATTTCAGATATATAATTTATGGTGGGGGGGAGAAGAGAGCGAGCGAGCAATTGAGCTACTGCTGCTGCTATGGTTACATAATTAGGAGTCAAATATCCTTTTCAGATTTACTGGAAAAACACTCACCGAGTTACTTAACGGATCCAGAAACAGCCGTGTACTATATGATCTGGGGGGGGGGGG